TCCCCGGTGGGCGAGGCAGCCTCAGCCCGACCGCTTCCCGCGGCCACGGGGGACTCTGCCGGGAGGACCTCCCCGTTAGAGGCGCAAAGTCCGCCACGCCTGTGCCGTCCCCATGGCCTCTGATCGCCGGGGTCCCCTTGACACCCCTCCGTTGCTTTCTGTCGTCTTCAAATTTTATTCCTTTTCTTTTTAAAGGAGGAAACGAGCTTAGAGAGGTTAAGTAACTTGTTCACATTTGCTTAGCTAAGAATTGGGGTTTGATTCAGGGTTGAAATTTGAACCCAGGACAGCTGTGTTCTGATTTAGCTTCCACCCATCAATCACACTTTGCAGAGTTCAGTCATAAGAAGCCCAAAGCTCCCTGCAGTGGTATTCGAGTTCCTCTGCTCCCCTAGTCTGTTCCTGCAGGCAGAGGAAGCAACTAGTCCTTAAACTGGTCTTGTACAAGGTGCTCCCTTCTGGAATGTCCTTTTCACCGTCTTCCACCGACCTTCAGTTTTCATTTGCTTTATTTCAGGTGTTTCAGGGTTGACGGTAGGCACAGAGTGAGGGCCAGTGTTTGCAGGGGCACTGGGAGAGGGTTGATTTTGTATGTCGGCAACATATAGAAATGTACAGAGAAGGAAAGGACCAAGTTCTTAAACTCCTAGAAGGTCCTAGGGTTAATCAGTTCTATATCTATCACTACATGGATTTAGTAGGTCCCGAGAGATCAGAAGGCCAAGGTTTTTTTTTTTCCTCTAGAAGGGAGCTCAGACAGGAACGGGTCCATATCAGGAAATCTGAGAAGTGGCAGGAATACTAGGTCCCTGGTTATGACTAGGATCTTCAACAGTTGAGAATATCTGGTGTATTTACTGCTGCACCCAGCCTGGGTGATTGGGGAAGGGTCGGAGGCATTAAGAAGGCTAACCCCTATTTTGTAAAACTACTGTTTGAAATTCTGTTTTAGATAGCCTCTTATTCTATAAAAATAACTTTGCTTTCTAGGCTGCTTGAATAATAAGGAAGATAAACTTAGCTGTCTGACCTTGTAGGCCAGACACTAGACACGCCCATACTCGCAAGCCATACCAGATGTATTTTTTAATTGGATATCACTGTGTTGTTTTCAAGGCCACAGCTTCCAGCGAGATAACCACTAAGCACACATAGGGCTGGCTCTTTAATAAAAAGGAAAGTTCTGCTTGTAGCTCTGCTTAGAATTTGAATTTATTTTTCTCTAAGCCCACCGGTGATTAGAAAAAAAATTGTTTAATTCCAAACTCTAAGTGTTGCTTGATTTTTTTCCAGTTTTCTGCAACAGCATGACAGGGGTAAGTGCAGGGCCCTCGTTCTGGCTCCATGGAATGCAGCAGCTAGAGGCTCCGTTCTTAACCTAGAACCTGAGTTCTGTCTGTGCACATTGTTGGTGTTGGAGAGGATTCCAGATTCTTCAAGGGGTTCCACAGCCCAAGAAGACTAAGTAGCCAGTTCTAATCCCATTTCTTATTAAAATGGGAAGACTGACAAGCTCAACAGTGTAGATTAAGGAAATATGCATTAATATTCTTTTTTTTTTAAATATCTTTTTATTGATTTCAGAGAGGGACAGGGAGAAAGTTAGAAACACCGATGATGAGAATCATTGATCCACTGCCTCTTGCATGCCCCTAGGGAGTTCGAGCCTGCAATCAAAACATGACCTCCTGGTTCCTAAGTCCACACTCCACCTCTGAAGCCTAGCTGGGCCCACACCTGCAGGGCTGCATTAATATTCGTTAAAAAAAAGAAAGTATGTTTTATCGATTTTTTAGAGACAGACAGAAACATCAAGAGGAAAACATCATCGACTGGCTGCCTCCTGCAGATCCCCCACTGGGGATCGAACTCACAACCCGGGCAAGTGCCCTGAGTGGGAATCGAACCGAGGACCTCTTGGTTCATGGGTCAACCCACAACCACTGAACCCCACTCGCCAGGCTGCATTAATATTCTTGTTTCCACCAAGAAAGAGTGTGATCTCCAGCAATAAAGCCTGAAGCTTAAATGGGAAAAACATCTACTCAAACAGAACGTTTTCATGTTGCCTGGCTCAGAGACTCAGGAAATCTCAGCTGTTGTCTGTGGCTGTTTTTGTCACAGGGCCTTCTGCACCCTTGAGGTCTAGGCCTAAGAGGCTGAGCCTGCAGCCTCCTACAACTAGGAGTTATACACACTCCCCGACTATGAGCCTTATCTGATGCTGCTCGTGGAAGGGGTAAGAGCCTCTGATGGTTGAAGAAAATTTCACAAGCTCTCCTCTTGAAACCCTGGGCAACTATAAAACGAAACAGGAAAGTCTTACCCCATCCCTTCACCATTTTCCTACCCAAGAAGGAAGAACATAAAACAAGAGCTCTTTCTTCTGGACTCGGCCACCTCCCCAGACACTCCCCTGACCCAGACACTACAGACATGGACCAGAAACTCCCCCTTAAATAGTTGTTTATTGGCAGTGGGCTGGAAAGGGCATTGGAGTTGGCATACACAGACAACACCACACAACCAATGTCACAAGGGAGGCAAGAGTGCTGGGAAAGAGCAGCCTGGAGCCCGGGATGAGGCCTCTTCAAGAGTGAGTGTGGGAGGGGGCGGGGCCTGGAGTGTTCACAGGGCAGCCTTAGATCACCTCTGCTTAGTAGGCATGGTTAGAGATGAAGAGGGACTGGCTGGCCGCAGCCCCAGTCTGGCCGCTTGGGGTGTACTTTCCTTGGCAGGCGAGGCTGTTGGCCTAAGAGGGGAGAGGAGCCAGAGTAAGAAGGTTTGTGCTCAGAATCCCATCCACCCCGGCAGTCTGCCCACCTCCTGCTCCATCCTCACCAGCGCTCGCTTGATATATTCCTCCTGGGCAGTCTTCAGGTTCTCCTTCTTTCCACCCCAGGCCTTCAGAGCAGAGGCCTGCAGGGCCCGGCCATAGGAGAAGGTCAAGGCCCATGGCTTTAGCAGGGGGCACTTGTTGATTGCATTGAGGTTGATGGATGCCTCCTCCTCACTCTGACCTCCAGATAGGAAGGTGATCCCTGTAAAACAAAGGTGAAATGGGGAGAGGGGTTGTAGTCCGAGATCCAGGGGACTGCTAGTTCCTAGCAGCTGACCTGGAAATCAGCCCAATAGGCATAAAGATTGTGGATACAGTCTGTCTACCTCCCAGAGGGCAAGATGAGAGTATGGGTCTCACCAGGGACAGCGGGGGGCACTGTGCGGCGCAGCGCAGTGACAGTTGCCATGGCAATCTCCTCGTTAGAAAATTTCTGGGTACAGGCATGGCCTGGGGTGACCATATTGGGCTTCAGCAAGGTGCCTTCCAGGTAGATGTGGTGGTCACTCAGAGCCTTGTAGACAGCAGCCAGCACCTAGAGCAGGGCAGGACCAAAGTGAGGTGGGGTGGAGTGGGGGGACAGGAGTCAGCCCCAAGGCCCTTGGCCCAGCTGCCAACGCACCAACCCTGCCCAGGCAGGAAGCAACCTACCTTTTCAGTTACATACTGACAGCGCTTCAAGTCATGGTCGCCATCGGGGAGGATCTCAGGCTCCACGATGGGCACGATGCCATTCTGTGGGGTGAGGGACAGAGTAGCTATGAGACCACCTGGAGGCCTCAGCTCTACCTACAGCCCTCCACAACCACTGGCCAAGGTCTTATCTCCACGAAGACAGAGACTCATGGCTTCAAAGCCCTCAGCTTTGCAGGATGTAGGAGACAGGATCTCCTCAGATCAACCCACACAAGCCCTCCACTGTCCTCCACAGGCTCAAGCCTGATGACTGGTGAGGATCCGGAGCAGCTGCCTTGGGGGAGGTAGACATCCTGGCAGATGGGTGGCAGGCTAACTGACACTCTGGAACCAAATGAGATGGAAGCTGGCCTGTTGGGGATGTGCAGGCCCACCTGCTGGCAGATGCTGGCATAACGGGCCAGAACGTTGGCATTTTCCATGATGGCAAGGGCTGAGGGGGTGTGTTCCCCAATCTTCAGCACACAGCGCCACTTGGCAAAGTCAGCTCCGTCTTTCTTGTACTGGGCACAGCGCTCAGACAGCCCATCCAGCCCTGGAAAGGGGATGAGACGTCAAAGCCTGGCAGAGGAGGGGGCAAGTGTCTCCCACTCATCCTGGGCTCTTAGAGGGGCACCGACCTGGGTGGGTTGGTCAGCAAGGCAAGGAGCCAAACAGTTCTCACCTTGGGTGGTAGTTTCACCATTTGTTCCTGCCAGGGGTACCACGCCCTTGTCTACCTGTTGGGGTAGGACAACAATATAAGGCAAGTAAGCAATCTCTACTACCTTCTCCTCTAGAGCCCTCCGTCACCTAACCTCACGTGATACCTCCTGGGCTTCAAATGTGTCCACTTGGCTACAGTATCTGATCCTCTGAGGCAGGATACAGGGGGTTATTATTTGACAGACAGCCTGGGAACCTACTACTTGCTAACTGTGAGCAAAACACACCACTGCCTTGAGCTTCTGGTTTTCATCTGTATAATAATGGGTAATGACTTGCTCTTAGAACTTTGAGGATTAAAAATACCAAGCAGGGCAGTTCCTAGCTTTCCTTACATCTGGTCTGGGGTAGACTCCACCCCGAGTCTCCAGGCTCCCAGCCCAATGTTCACCCCGCCAGCCTGTTACTTTGGACGACTTTTCGATTTTGCTTCTAGGCAAGGTCTAGAAGCAAATGAGTCTTTTCCCCAGACTCATTTCAGATCTCACATTCTGAGGCCCAGCCTCCTCACCTTGATGCCCACAACACCACCCTTGGATTTGATAACTTGGGGGAAGGGACGCCCATCATCTGTCTTCTGATAGAGTGTCTCATGGAAGAGGATGACACCCCCAATGCAGGGATTCACTCGGTCATCGGCAGTCAGCAGCAGCTGGCGGTAGAAGCGCCGGTTCTCCTCCGTGTTCTCAGTGCCAATGGACTGCAGCCGCTTGGCAATGCTCCCTGGAAAGGAATCGCCCATGGTCATAGGGGGATCAGCCTGTCACCCCCACGCCTGGGCCCTCCTCCCACTGTGTCCTGATCGCACCAGTGGACTCATCTGCAGCCAGGATGCCCTTGCCCGGAGCCACGATGCGGTGAGCAATGTCACTTAGCTCCTTCTTTTGCTCCGGGGTCAGCGCTGGGTATTGGTAGGTCATGGTGCCAGTCAGTGCCTGAGCAGAGGAGACAGATGGGGGAGCATGGGTTAGCTGGGTCTCCCAATGAGCAGAGCCCCTTGCCAGGGCCAAGTTCCCTACCTCCCCTTCCCACACCCAGCAGGTCTTGGGGTACTTCCCCAGCTCTCCCCTACACCCGACTTCCCTATACTAGGCCTGCCTCCTGTACCTTTCCTAACTCTCTGTGTTGCTGGGTGTTGCCCAGCAGAGGGTGGGGTTGCATACTGGCATCTGGGCCAAAGGAATAGGCCAGAGCCATGGACAGATGGCTCGTGTAGAAGCTGGACCCTTCTGGCTTGCGCTTTGCCATGGGGTCACCTTGCCTAGAAGCAAAATCGAACCGCAGTCTTTTAGAACTTAGAGGTCTGCATAAGGCAGAGGGCCCAACCCCTCGTCTGAAAGGACCCAGAGAAAGGTCTGTATTCAAGTCATACAGCAACCCAAGGGTCAGGTCTGAGATTAGAACCCAGATCTGACTGCCACAGGGGCGTTCCTTCCGATCCATCCAAGATCCCAGAGCGGGGACTGGCACCAAGGCCTCAAGGACATCCCAAGGTCAGGCTTCTCCCCCCAGGGTGGGGGTGGGAGGGCATCAGGAAAAGGGTATGGAGAAGGGTGTAGGAGGGAATCAGAAGGCCAGGAAAGGGCAGCAGAGGAAGCCCGGCCCGAGGCGGAGGAAAGGGATAGTTTTGCCCATCTCACTGCTCAAGCAGGGTAAGCGTGCGGAGGAGAGGCAAGCGCCCCACCCCTGCCCCTGAAAAGCGCTCCTGTCTGCTCGCCGGGCTGCAGCGGTTCCAGGCTCAGAATCAAGGTCACCCGATAAGAAAAGACAGGGAAGGTGTTAATAGGGCAAGAGGCGCTGCCAAGGGTTGCCCTCCTCGCCGGGGGCGCCTGTGCCCCCGGGCAGGGCCCCCACCCGCCTTAGGGAACCTGAAGCAGTACACGGCCTGGCCCCTAACCCTCGCTGCCTCGCAGGCTCCCTGCAGAGGCGAAGGGGCCATGATCCTTTGCACTAGGGGTCCCGGCCAGAACAGGGAGGGGGACCGGCCCTTCACCTCCCCCTGCTTCCTCCCCGCCATGACTCAGCGCGCGCGGAGCCGCACTGCGCAGTGAAGCCGGCGAGCGCCAGCTGGAGCGGGTGGGGAGCGGGCTGGGGAGCGTGTGTGTGCGG